CACACACACACACACACACACACACACACACTAAATAAATAAATAAATAAATGTAAAAAAAAATTTTTAAATACAATGAATAAGGCCAGCCAGATAGTTCAGCAGATTAAAGCGCCTGATCAGTAAGATGCTGGGGTTCGGCCCCCAGACCTGCGGTGCCAGGCCCTGCCCCCGGGGTGCACTGAGATGGTGATAGAGACTGGGCGTGGTGGCACATGCCTGTAATCCTAGCACTTGGGAGGCTGTAAGCAGGATCACTACGAGTCAGCTCTCTGTAGTGAAAGCCTGTAGACCCTGTACTAAAATACATAAAAAATAAAAAAATAAGTACAATGAACCCTGCTACCAAGTGCTAGTTACTAGAAAGCCAGGCTTGTAAAAGCATGCAGCGTGTCCTTACCTTCTCCATAGATGTGGCCCCAGTGACTTCTGGCTCTTGGCCAAAGTCAGATAACTGTGAAAGGTAAACGTTTCAAACCAGGACGGCACAACTAAAGATAGCTTACAAAATAAGAGTTCTAGAGCTGTTTCGGGGAGTAGCCAGAGGGACCAGGGATATAGCTCAGTGGCATAGTGCCTACCTGGCAAGCTCAAGGTCCTGAGTTTTGATTCCCTGTACCAAAAAAGAGAAAAAAGAAAGAAAATAACTATAACCATGGGATGGGATAAGATCAATTGAAGCAAAGGAGAGTATCTTGAGGAGAAATTAACAGCAGTGTGTCTTATTATAACAAGTTTTTAGAGACATTTGTATTTGTCTCATTCACACATCTCTACGTGTGTGTATGCCAGTTTGTCTGTGTGTAAGTGGCCCTTGTGTTTTCTGTGTTCTGGGTCCTGCATTCACAGATGTGCCTTGCATTTGATGTAGCCCCAGCTCAGATCCCCAGGCCTTAGTGGGAGCTGGGCTCACGAGGGCTGAACGGAGATGGTATGGGGAGGTTGAGGCAGAGTGGCCAGCCCAGAGTGTATGGTCAGCACTGCATGACGTATGGACCTTGTGCCTTCCCACAGGCCCTACATTGGCACCACTGCCACCTGTCGTTCTCCCACACTGTACCCAGACCCCCTATGGCTGCTGCCAGGACAACGTCACCGCTGCCCGGGGCGTGGGCCTTGCCGGCTGCCCACGTGAGTAGCAAGCCTGTCCCGAGGCCTGGCTGGTGGGGCTCTGTGGTCACTGTGACCTGCGCTCCCTCTTCTTGCAGGCTCTTGCCAGTGCAACCCGCATGGCTCCTACAGTGGCATCTGCGACCCGGCCACGGGGCAGTGCTCCTGCCGACCAGGCGTGGGCGGCCTCAAGTGTGACCGCTGTGAGCCTGGCTTCTGGAACTTCCGTGGCATCGTCACCGACCACCTGAGTGGCTGCACTCGTGAGCAGTGGTCCCCTTAGCCTGGCCCCTACCTGGTTTGTCTCTGAAGCAGGTGGGAGGTCTGTGCGGGTGCAGACTCAGGCTCTTTCCTCTCCTAGCCTGCAGCTGTGATCCACGGGGGGCTGTGCGAGACGACTGTGAACAGATGACTGGACTCTGCTCCTGCAAGCCAGGCGTGGCCGGGCCCAAGTGTGGGCAGTGTCCAGAAGGCCACGTCCTGGGCCCTGCTGGTTGTGAGGCAGGTGAGGGCAAGGGTCAGTGGTGACATGGGGCTCCCTGTGCAGGGGACAGCTTGAGCTGGAGGCTCCTGTGTCTGCCCCAGGCTCCTTGGTGCCCAAGACCTGTGTGGAGATGCACTGTGAGTTTGGAGCCTCCTGTGTGGAGGAAGCTGGATCTGTCCACTGTGTGTGCCCAGCCTTCACATGCCCAGCGGCCAATGCCACTAAGGTGAGGTCAGAGCAGGTGGCGCGGGGTTGGCCAGGGGGAGACTGGCCTGAGCATCCCCATCCTGTGCCCCAGGTCTGTGGGTCTGATGGCGTCACATACGGCAGCGAGTGCCAGCTGAAGACCATCGCCTGCCGCCAGGGCCTGGACGTCTCTGCCCAGAGTCTTGGCCCATGCCAGGGTACGGCCCTCAAGCCACCACCCAGAACCGATCGGGAAGGGCTCCCTGCCCTGCCTCCAGGCCCCAGCCGCCCTCTCCTTGCAGATGCTGTTGCTCTTGGCACGCGCCTGACGCCCGCATCTGTGAGCCCCTTGGAGCATGTCCTGAGCGAGGCGTTGCCATCCCCCCCCAGCGCCCTTCCCCTGGCACCCAGCAGTGTCCCCCACAGCCAGGCTACTCCTCCACCCTTGTCACGACCTTGGACCACATCCAGCATCCCCAGGCCCACGGCCAGGCCTGTGCTAACTGTGCCTCCCACAGCAGCTTCCACTGCCACCAGCCTTGCCACATCAGCCTTTGGTGAATCTGGCAGCACCGATGGGAGTGGTGACGAGGAGCTCAGTGGAGACCAGGAGGCCAGTGGGGGTGGCTCTGGGGGTAAGCAGGGGCTCTGGGTCCCAGCAGCCAGTCCAGAGTGAGCAGGAGTTGCGGGGGAGCGCAGGTCAGAGAAGGAGTCCAGGGACTGGGGCTAGAACCCAGAGAAGCTGCCCCTGGGGCTGAGCTGAGATGTTATTTCCCTAGGCCTTGAGCTCCCTCCAGGCAACAGCATGGCGACCCCTGGGCCACCCATCGAGAGGGCTTCCTGCTACAACTCCCCTTTGGGCTGCTGTTCAGATGGGAAGACACCCTTGCTGGATGCCGAGAGCTCCAACTGCCCTGGTAAGTGGGCAGTGGGGGCGGAACAAAGCTTGAGGAACACCTTGGACACACCAGCTGCTGTCCCCACCCCTCGGTAGCAGGTCGGTACTGGAGTTGTGGCTTCAGCACATGTGTGTGGGGATGCAACACACACGCACACGTGTGATCTAAGACCCCAAACTCATGTGGGTGCCAGGACCCTTGCCTAACCGTCTCTCTCCTTGCAAGCCAACCTGGGGCACCTGTTCCGAGGAGTCCACCTGGTAACTGACGCCAGCCTTGCCCTGGGGCCCCCACTAACCTCATGACCATCTGACTAATATCCACCTGCCCTTGTGCTCCAAGTGGCTTGCCCTGGGTGCCTGTGCCATGGCTGGTGCAGGAGGACAGGTGAGTGCCAGGCAGGGCCTCATTACCCCTCCCCCACAGCCACCAAGGCATTCCAAGGCGTGTTGGAGCTGGAGGGGGTCGAGGGGCAGGAGCTGTTCTACACACCTGAGATGGCTGACCCTAAGTCAGAGCTGTTTGGGGAAACTGCCCGGAGCATTGAGAGCTCGGTGAGTGTGAGGCCACTCCTGGGACAGAGCCACAGGAGTGTCAGGGCAGGTACCCGACAGCCCAGGGCCAGTTGTAGCTGGGCTTAGGTGATGCCCCATGTCCCTGTCCTTTTCCTTCTGGCAGCTGGATGACCTGTTCCGCAACTCAGATGTCAAGAAAGACTTCTGGAGTGTCCGCCTGCGGGATCTGGGGCCTGGCAGATGGGTCCGAGCCATTGTGGATGTGCATTTTGACCCCAGTGAGTACTGTAGCCCAGGTCCCTCCTAGGAGACAATGGGGGGTGGGGGCACAGGGGCCAAGCCATGCTCAGTGTCCTTTCTGCCTCAGGTACAGCCTTCAGGGCTCCTGATGTGGGCCAGGCCCTGCTCCGGCAAATCCAGGCATCCAGGCGCCGCACCCTAGTGGTGAGGAGGCCTCTGCAGGAGCATGTGAGATTCATGGACTTTGGTGAGCACCCTGAGCCCAAGGAGGGGTTGGTCCCCTTTCCCAGTGCCCTGCCCCTGCAGGCCCTAACAGCTACCTACCCCACAGACTGGTTTCCAGCCTTCTTCACAGGAGCTGCCACAGGAGCCACAGTTGCAGTGGCCACGGCCGGAGCTACCACCACAGGGCAACTGCCCTCTGCTGTGACCCCTCGGGCCTACCCCAGTCGCACCAGCCGACCTACTAGCAAGACCACAGCACCCCCTACCACACACTGGCCGTCCACCACAGTCCCCAGCCACACGGCACAACACTGGCCTATTCCCCCAGACCCCCAGCAGCCTCTGAGGCCTTGTGCCTCCCAGCCCTGCCTCCATGGGGGCACCTGCCAGGACCAGGACTCTGACCAAGACTTCACTTGCAGCTGCCCAGCAGGCAGGGGTGGCACCATCTGTGAGGAGGGTGAGAGTGGGTAACGCAGGGGAGGGGTACACAGTATTGGGGGGCATTTGGGCTGTAGAGCCACAGGGTGTGCTCTCTAGCTGGCCTCTGCCTCCTGCAGTGCTACGCCCCTCTGTGCCTGCCTTTGGAGGCCGCGCCTTCCTGGCCTTCCCAACCCTCCGTGCCTACCACACATTGCGCCTGGCACTAGAATTCCGGACTCTGGATCTACAGGGACTGCTGCTGTACAATGGAAATAACCACGGCAAAGACTTCCTGGCACTGGCTCTGCAGGGTGGGCGGGTGCAGCTCAGGTGGGCTGGGTGGGGGTCTACCAGCTCATGGGGTGGAGACTGGGTGGGCAAAGCCATGGTGTAGGTAGGGCAGGGTGGACTAAGCAAGGTCTTTTGTAGCTTGGGGAGCAGAGCAATGGTGTGGGTGGTGCAGGGTGGACTAGGCAGGCCCTTTTGTAGCTTGGGGGGCAGAATGATAGTGTAGGTGGGGCTATGTCACCTGCATTTGCAAGGGTGGGGCCAGGCCTATCCTGGTGAAGCTGGGGTGGGGGCCACTGGTCAGATGAGCTGGATCATCTGAGTCCCTGCTCCTGTCCTAGGTTTGACACAGGTTCTGGGCCAGCGGTGCTGACTAGCTCCGTGCTTGTGGAGCTGGGCCGGTGGCACCGCCTAGAACTGTCAAGGCACTGGCGCCAGGGCACACTCTCTGTGGATGGTGAGAGCCCTGTTACGGGCGAGAGCCCCAGTGGCACAGATGGCCTTAACCTGGACACGGACCTGTTTGTGGGTGGCGTCCCAGAGGACCAGGCTGCTGTGTGAGCAGGAATAGGATGGACCAGCTCTGAGGGACCCAGGCCCCAGCATTGACCTTGACCTCCACTTCCACACTGACCTCTGGCTGTGGCCCAAGCCACTTTATTCATGCTAACTGGGTGTGAATGGTGGCTGTTATCCTGACCTTGACCCCAGGACGTGGCCCGTCCTGCCCCTGTCCTATTTGTGATGGCATCCCAGTTCCGCTGACCCTGACCTTCAAGTCTTGACCTTTAATCTTCATTCCCAGCTTCTGACTATTGTTTATGGGACTGGCTACCTTGTGAGCAACTGGAAATGGGAGGGTGGCCCTAACCCCAGCTCATGGGACCCCCCCCAAGTTACAGTGGGCTGTGAGTGAAGGTACCTCTGGCCTCTGCCTCTGACCCTGATCCTGTTCTCATGCTAGGGTGCTCGAGCGGACCTCTGTTGGGGTTGGCCTAAAGGGCTGCATCCGCTTGCTGGACATCAACAATCAGCGGTTGGAGCTGGGCAGCTGGCAGGGAGCTGTCTCCCAGAGCTCTGGTGTGGGCGAGTGTGGGGATGACCCCTGCACGCCCAACCCCTGCAGCAGTGGAGTACCCTGCCAGGTGCTCGAGGCTGGAGCGTTCCACTGTCAGTGCCCACCTGGCCGTTTTGGTAAGAGTGGGCTTGGGCCAGGTGCTGGGATGGGAAAACAAATGTCTCAGCAGGGTCTTACACCTTTGGGGTCCCCATCATTCTCTCTTCAGGTCCAACCTGTGCCCGTGAGAAGAGCCCCTGCCAGCCCAACCCCTGCCATGGAGCAGCCCCTTGCCGTGTACTACCTGAGGGAGGCCCTAAGTGCGAGTGCCCCCTTGGGCGTGGGGGTGCCCTCTGCCACATAGGTAGGGGACGCAGTGGGCAGTGAGGTATCAGGGTCAAATCTTTGGGTTGAGTTATGGCTCAGTTTTTTCAGTCCCATGGGAGTTGGGACTTAGACTGGTGGCAGACTTGAATTAGGCACAGGGCTGTGAGGCGGTGAGGGTGCAGGAGCCCTCAAGTGTCAGCACTTGCGTCCCTGAGACACCCCTAATCTGGTTCTCCCTAGCCTTGGAGAGGGACTGGGGCTCCCTGCCCTTCATGGCTGACTTCAGCGGCTTCTCCTACCTGGAGTTGAAAGGCCTGCACACCTTTGAACGAGACGTGGGGTCAGTAGGTGCGGGGGGGGGGGGGGGGGGGGGGGCGCATAGGACCTGTCGGGGAGGGGACAGTGGGACACCCCCGTAACCCTGTGTGACTCCAGGGAGAAGATGGCACTGGCAGTTGTGTTCCTGGCCCGGGGCCCCAGCGGCTTGCTCCTCTACAATGGGCAGAAGACAGATGGCAGGGGGGACTTTGTATCATTGGCCCTGCGCGACTGGTTTCTAGAATTCCGTTACGACCTGGGCAAGGGGGCTGCAGCCATCAGGTGGGTGGCTGCAGGTGGGCTGCACACGCTGGGTTAAGCTGGAGGGACCATGATGAGAGGCACGTTGTGACATCATTGCCCTGAGCCGGCAGAGCCGAGAACCTGCTCACAGTGCTGTCCCCATAGGAGCAAGGAGCCAGTAGCCATGGGTACCTGGACAAAGGTCTTACTGGAGCGAAACGGCCGCAAGGGTGCAATGCGCGTGGGTGATGGGCCCCGTGTGCTGGGGGAGTCCCCGGTGAGTGTCTAGAAGTATGGAGGGGCCATGGCCTCTGCCCATCCTGCCTAGCACCCTTCCTCCACCCAGGGGCTGGACACCCGTAACCAGCTCTCACGATGCTGTTTTCTCCTGTCTGTCCTGGGCCTCCGTCTGTCTTCTCTCTGCCCTCACTGCTCTCTGGCTCTTGTTCTGCACCCCCACCCGCTCTCCGGATGTCAGAAATCCCGCAAGGTACTGTCTGCCTCTTACCCGCCATTGTCTCCTTACCCAACTAGAATAGCCCCTCCCCACTAACTCCTGCGTCTCAATCTCTCTGTAACTGACGCTGCCTCCTGTGGAATGGGTCCAGCCACAGGCACCCTGGTATGCACTTGGGCTGTCCCTGCCCACTGGGCCCCATACAGCCCCTCACCCAGTGCCTCCTGCAGGTGCCACACACCGTGCTCAACCTGAAGGAGCCACTCTATGTGGGGGGTGCCCCTGATTTCAGCAAGTTGGCCCGGGCAGCTGTGGTGTCCTCTGGCTTTGATGGTGCCATCCAGTTGGTATGAGGGATAGGGTGGGATCCGCCTCCAGGGCTGTCATTGAAGTGGGGGTACAGAAAGGACCTCTGGTGAGGGTCCTATACTGGGGGACTAAGGCCCTTGTCCCTGCACCCTGCAGATCTCCCTGGGAGGCCGCCAATTGTTGACTCAGGAGCATGTTCTGCGGGCAATGGGCATCTCATCCTTTGAAGACCACCCTTGCACCAAAGCCTTGGGCCACCCCTGTCTCAATGGAGCCTCATGTCTTCCACGGGAAGCTGCCTATGAGTGCTTGTGTCCCACAGGCTTCTCAGGGCTGCACTGTGAGAAAGGTGAGCTCTGGCAGCACATGGCTAAAGCTGGACGAAGCCCCAGGATTCCTTGGGGCCCATGTGACTGCCTATCTCTCAGGGCTGGTTGAGAAGTCAGCGGGGGACCTGGACACACTGGCCTTCGATGGGCAGACCTACATTGAGTACCTCAGTGCTGTGAGGGAGAGGTAATGCACCTCCGGGAGCTAGGCACCCCTCCACCTTCTGCTTTCTGTCTGGTCTTGTCTGTGCATGCTAGCAGGGCAGGGCAGGGCAGGGCAGGGCAGGGCGCCAGACCCCCCACAACACCCGCTGGGTCAGTGCCAGGAGGCCAGGTCCAGTGACTGCTCCACCTCTGCACTCCTTCCTTCTCACTGTCTCTGTCTCTTTGTTTCCAAGCGAACTGGCCAATGAGATCCCAGTGTAAGTAGCCTGTGTCCCCCCACACATCGTGCTCTCTGTCCGTGATAGGTCCCCTGCCTGGCTGCACAGTCCTGAGCTCCACCAAGAGTAGAGCTTCCCATCCTGGGTGGAGGAAGGGTGTTAGGCCCGTTTGTGCTATGCAAGGCTCAGCCCCCAGTTGGAAATGAGGACCTCCCCCTCCCAGGACCCATGCCAAGGGCTGTTTACATCACCCCCTATGATAACTCCCCCAGAAAAGCACCAGTGCCAGTGCATACATGTGCTATGTATTTATGTGGAAGTTTCCATGTGAGTAATGCTTTGTTCACATCCGCTGTGAATGTATGTACATGTGTGTACATGCCCACATGATCAAAGGTGTGTAAGATGATATATGAGCTTGTACGTGTGTGTACGTGTGAGTGGCTGTTTCTGCACAACATATGCATGGTGGACAAAGAGGCTTGCTCCCTGGCAGATGAGCCCTGCGTCCCCATCTGTGTCGCCATGCTTCACCCCATGCCCTCTGCACCCTGTTGGTTGGTGCTCCCAGCTCTGCCCACACACTGTTGCACTCATGTCCCTGCTAAGGCTCTCTGGGATGTGGGTCAATGGTAGCGGGGATCGTGCATGGCTCGGGATGTTTGCCAGTGTGGAAAAGGGGACTTCAGGAGACTTCAGTCGATCTGCCTTCCTCACTGCTTCCCTCTCTTCCTGCTTCTAAGCCCGGAAACTCCAGATTCCGGGGCCCTTCACAGGTGAGCAGCGGCCGTGCCTGAGGCCCTGGCTGGCCCTCACCATGCGTTGTGCCTGCCTGCTGTCTTCATCCGTCTGCCCCGCCCCAGACGCCCTGCGGCTGCCACCCGTGCCCATTCAGCCACTCTGGCTCTCATCGCCAGCTCCATCCCTCCCCCTCCCTGCCCCACTTGCCGCCTTCAGAAGACCTGACCCCACCCTCCTCCACAGTGAGAAGGCGCTACAGAGCAACCACTTTGAACTGAGCCTGCGTACCGAAGCCACTCAGGGGCTGGTGCTGTGGAGTGGGAAGGCCACGGAGCGTGCAGACTATGTGGCACTGGCCATCGTGGATGGGCACCTGCAGCTGAGCTATGACCTGGGCTCCCAGCCCGTGGTACTGCGCTCTACCGTGAAGGTCAACACCAATCACTGGCTGCGGGTTAGGGCTCACAGGTGAGTGATTTGTGGCAGGTACGGTAAGCAGCGCCTTAACGCAGTCAGGTCATGTCTGGTCACTCGCGGTGACCAGCTGCCTACCTGAGGCTCACTGGCAGTGAGAAGGAGGGAAAGACAAGAAGGTGTGAGGGAGGCATTAGTGGCAGAGGACTTGTTGCCCCGACCTGGCCCCAAGGAATGACTCCTGGTGTGGTCTCCAGGATGTGGCACGTATGCGGTATGGGACAGGGACAGGAGCTCAAGTGTTGGGGGAGGCAGGCACTGACCATCTTGTACCTTCAGGGAGCAAAGGGAAGGATCCCTTCAGGTGGGCAACGAAGCCCCTGTGACCGGCTCCTCTCCTCTGGGTGCCACACAGCTGGACACAGATGGAGCCCTGTGGCTTGGTGAGTGTTTCAGGAGGCCAGGGAAGGGACCAGCAGTGTAAGAATGTCTTGGGATAGGGCTGGCGAGGTGCTCAGCAGACTAAGTACCTCCTTAGGCAAGCCCAGCACCACATGCTGCGCTTAGCCAGACACTGAGACCGGGTGTGGTGGCGCACACCTGTAATCAGAGCACTGGGGAGGCTAAAAATAGGAAGATTACTATGAGTGCAAGCTGTGTGGTGAGACCCTGTATCAAATACATTAAAAAAGAAAAAAAGTCTGAGACAGACTCTGTCCTGAGTCAGCCCATCAGGACAGCAACAAGCAGCAGTGTTGTGGCCTTCAGGCCAGGAGGAGTACATGAGTGGACACGCCTGCTGGTCACTGTTCCCAGGCCCCAGCTGCCCTCTGCACACTACTGTGCTGAGTTTCAGCTGAGTGACTTCCCTGTCTGTCCTGCAGGGGGCCTTCAGAAGCTGCCCACGGGCCAGGCGCTGCCCAAAGCCTATAGCACAGGCTTTGTGGGCTGCCTGCGGGATGTGGTGGTAAGCGGGCACCCACTACACCTGCTGGAAGATGCAGTCACCAGGCCAGAGCTACGGCCCTGCCCCACCCCTTGACCAGCAGCCAAGACCCTGCCCACCCTGCTGTAATTATTTTCTATTTTTGTAAACTTACTGCTTTTCCATATGATTTTCTTGCCTGTGTTGGCCAGGGGGACTGCTGACCTGGGCTCCCCTCTGTCCAGGCAGCCGTGCTGTGGAGACACGTGGTACCGGACACTTGCAGGGGCTACAGGGCACCCTCAAGACTTGCCCCTCTGCCTCAGGGCACATGCTGCAGCCTCTTGCACTGTGTCCCCCGTGTATCTGCCTGTGTCAGTCCCTTGTGTTCCTGCTCCCCATGTCACCATGTTCTGTTGGATGAGGTCCATGTCCCCAAGCAGGGGAGCTGTAGGCTTCGATAGGGCCTTCGTCCGAGCAAGCCCCAGGGCCTCCTGGTTCCTACTTACACTCCTGTTGTCTGTGTGTGCTGTAGGTGAGCCTCGCCTAGGCTGGCCTGGAACCCAGGCCCTTCTGTGCCAGTACTGTGACCTAGAAACAATGTTACTTTTGGGCCTGTGCCTCACACCTCCAAGTGTGTCTCTTAGCTCCAGGGTGCTGGAGGACAGCCCAGGGCCAGGGCACTTCACTGAGCCTGCCTGTCCACCCTGGATGTAGCCCACCTCCCCACACTCAGTGGCTCCTGAGGGAGTGGACCACCGTGCGATGTGGCCCACTGTGTGGCAGCCAGCTTCCTTCCCTCAGGGGTGAGTGTCCAGGCCTGAAAACCAACCATTTTCTTCAAACACTGGTCTCATTTTTTTTCTCCCTCTATCCTGGCCCCAGAGCAGTACAAGTTGCGGGCCAGGTCTACCATGAGGGAGGCTGTGCTCATCTGAGAGTGACCAGGGACAGCCTGGTGCCTGACTGAGGCCGAAGGGCAGGTGCAGGAGTGGCAGGGCTGGCAGTGGAGCTAGAAATGCCTTAAAAGCGCAGCATGCACCCCACCATCCCCTCCCTCCGTGCAGGCTGTGCAGGGCCATCAAAGCCTGGTAGAGTGGCAGCCTGGCCCCCGGCTAGGCGCGGTGGAGGCAGGAGGGAGCCGCATGGTATCTTGTTACTAACTCCAGTTGTGTCTGTCAAACACCGTGAAATAAAGTGTAAACCAGAGGGACTGTGTCTGTCCTTTTGCGCCAACTCCCAGCTCTGACTTTGGGGCCTTTTTGCCCAGCTCCATAGTGAGGGCACAAGCTTCAAGCTCCCCAAGAGGCCCCGAGTGGAGGGCAGGGTCTGCACTGGGGAGATGTGTGATGGGGTGCAGAGGGGCCAGCAAAGCTGCAGTGATGCATTTGCACGTGGAACAACCTCCCTGTGTCTGAACACAGGAAGGGGACACTGCATAGTGAGGGGGCACCTGTTGGCACTTCTGGGTGAGCTTAACCCTGATGGGATTATGGGTGACCATTGACAGTAGACCAAGCATTTCAGGAGCTGGGAAAGAGGGACTTCTCAATTTAAAGATCAAAAAGTGTACTTTTTTTGACTTGATATTAAGGAAAGGTTCCCCTCTCCAAAGCAAAGCAAAAGCCTAGACCCGGAGACCCTGTGCTTCTGTGTCTTTCTTCATTTCCTTGCTCCTTCAGGAGTGCTGGGCAGGTGTGCAAGGTCTGGTGCTTAGGGTGGGGAGGAGAACCCTGCGGGCTACGCAGTCATAGACACCCTCAAGACAGAAACTGAAGGGGTGAGGTGGAGGCTGAAGTAGCCTTGGCTTCAGAAAAGATTGGAAGCAATGGACCAGCTGGAGATAGCCACCACCAAGCCAGGGGGTAGAAGGACCCTTCCCCATGGAGCCCAGTGCCAGTACCTGGCACAGGAGGTGCCAGGGTAGGGGGTGTACCACAGGGGAGTGTGGCTCTGAGAGGCCTGGCCTGGATAGGGGTAGCTCAAGGGCTGACAGGAAGTCTTAGGGCTGGGGAGGCAAGTCGAGGACTGGACAGCATGACCAAAGAGGGCTGAGCCACGGTATCCCCATCCTTGCCTCACCTGGCCACTCAGTGGATGGTATGAAGGCTGTGAGACATCATTTGTATTACATTTAGATCAGCCTGGTCTCTAGACACAGGTCCTTCCAGGGGTCCAGTCTAGGAGAGCAGAGGGCCTAACAGGATTATATAGGCAGGTTCTGGCTCCAGAAGCCATGTGCCCTTTAACAGGAGCGACTTGATTTCTCTACAGAAAAACCTCAGCCACTGCCCTGGAGAGATAATAGAGTCTTAGACTTGGGGTCCGCATAGAGTGAGACAGGGCCCACCTGGGTGGCAAGCAACTCTGAATATGGGTACCCTGTTTATTCCTTAGAGGGCCCTGAGCACAGCTGTCCCTGCTGTCAGCTGTACGCTGAGAACAGGATATCCCAGAGCCTTCCATGTGGACAGCAGGGTGGTCACTGCTGAAGGAGAGGGGAGGTACTCACTGTCCCCTTTTACTCCTCTCTCAGGTCCTGATTCTGACAGTGGATTCCTGGGCAGGGGTCTGGAGGTGGCAGAGTCAAGGGAGAGTTGGCCTGGGGTCAACTGCGCTGGCCTTGGAAGGGCTTAGCCTTGCCCCCAGGTTTCCTGGCATGAGAATGAAAGGGCTAGAACCTCTGTACAGGAAAAGCCCAGACTGTTCAGGAAGCTGAAGGTGCCACATGAGAGGAAACCATGGAGCCTGGCACACCCCCCAAACAGATGGCACCTCTGCCCTTCCAGGTGCCACTATACCCAGTACAGTGGTGTCCACCACTACTCGTGTTGAGGGACAATGCAACATCCCATGGGCTGCTCTGAGATCCACCACAGTGGGCCAAGAGGAGCTCCAGCAGCCTCTGGGCTGCCAGGATTCCATGCTGGAGCAGTGAGCTCAAGCCAGGTGTGTGTGTGTGTGTGTGTGTGTGTGTGTGTGTGTGTGTGTGTGTGTGTATTTATCTCTGAGGTTCGTGTCTACAGGGCACTGCCTTGGGAAACCACTGTCCCTAGCTCAGAAATGTCTTCAGCTCTCTCCCCTAACCCTGGCTTCATTTCCTCCAGGCCTGAGACCCTAGCAGTGGGAGTAGGAGTGCAAAGGGCAGGTCCTGCCTTGGTTCTACCTCCACCCTTCTTACTGGTGACCTGGGGTGAGCAGGCTCCTCAACCTTGGTTTCTCTACCCCAGGAAGCTGTGTCTCTCCAGGAAACGGCCAGCCTGGTCTGGGAGGCCCTCCTTGCTGAGGACCATGCTGCCATCTGGTGGTCACTGTGGGCCTCCACAGAGAGCCAGGAAGTATGATGAGGCAGGCAGGACACTTCACACCCTCCCCGAGACTTCTGGAGACCTCTAACAGAGAAACCTCAGAGCGCGCGGGAGCTAGGGATCCTGTCTCCCCCAGCAGGTGTGCACCCACATGAACCCTAGATCCTGAGTGTCTTCTTCCCACAGGAGCACAGGAGAATGCTGCGTAGCCCCTCCAGGAGAGGGGAGCTCAATGGCCAGATGTGAGGGCACTGAGTACAGAGCAGGAGTCTGAATGGAAGAGAGCAAGGCAGCCACCTTGGGCTGTGGGGTGTCCCTGCCGGCCCCAGAAGGCTATGAGGGTCAGCCTCCAGCATCGAGAGCTGTGTGAGGGAGCTCACCAGACCAGACACCAGCAGGGAGGCCAAGCCTGTCTCTAGGGAGGGTTTGAGAGACGCCCTGGCCACCACCCAGACCTGTCTTCTGGGCTGGGTCACGAAAAGAGGGTTGGGTGCTGAGAGCTCTGGAAAGGGGCAGTGACCCTGCCAAACCTCTGTCCCTCAGAAACGCCAGCTCCGATACGCCCAGAAGAGGCACAGTAGTTGGAGAACAAGCTCAAGAACATCTAGCTACAAGAACATCCTTCCCTGAGAGGCAAGACCCAGGGCTCTCTCAGATGCCATTCTGCAGGACTCTGGGTGGAGCAAGGAATGTGGCTGCCACCAGAGGTGCGATGCAGTCCCTCCCGCCTGTCCTCAGCACTGGTCCCAAGGCCCTCCCTGGCCCCCAGGAACTGTGTGGGAGCCATCACTCACCATGCCACTTTGCAAAGGTCTGTCATCTGGACCTTTAGTCCTGGAAACAGCAGGTAGTCAACACCCACCTCTTTCAGAGTGACCCAGAAGATAAACCAGGCTGTGGAACAGGCAAAGTGTCCACTGCCACCACATCTACAGATTGCAAGGGCCACTTCTGGGCCGTGGTGCACAGCAAGCGCACTATGGTCGTGATCACCACAGAGGTGGAGGGGGACTGAGCCGGAGCTCTCTGAGTCCCCCTGGCGCTGCAGCTGGCCCAGCCTTGTGGCTTCGGATAGCAAGAAACAGCCCTGCCTGACATGGAGGAAGAGGCAGCCCTGAGAGGCCTGTGTGTCCCTGAGGAGGAGCACAGGTCTGCTAGACAGGCTGACACAAAACACTGACCCCCAAAACATGTGCTTGTGGACCTGGCCTAAGCCACAGGACAGCAAAGCAGCATGGGCACAAACCCACTGTGTGTGGGAGCTGCATATGAATCTGGTAGGCAAAGGGTTAGTGTGGTCAGAATCCCTAGATATGTGTTGGGGTCCCTGAGCCGAGACCCCCAAATCTGGCTTCCCCAACTCCATTGGCTTTGGTGGCTTCCATGTCCTTTAATCCAGTGGACATGGTGCAAGCCTGGCCCCTAGGGAGTGTTCATGGAAGCTGGCTGCATTCTCAAGCCAACACCCCAGGCCCAGTCCCATAGATCCAGGGTGGCCTCAAACTCTTCATCCTGCAGGGCATCACCCATGGGTCTCCCTGGTCCAGGACAGCAGCACCACCTCCTCTGCCAGTGGCAGCACACACACAAGAATCCTGTGGGCACCAGGAGCCCCTGAGGGGCTCTGCCCAGATAGAGCTTCATCCCCAGCTCCCTCTTCCTTCCCAGAAACTGTCCTCACCTCCTTATGACCTAAGCCCATCCCTGGCGCCTCTGCCAGGCAGGGGCAGCAGTGTCCTTTGACCCTCCTAGGAGCTGCCCTGACTTGCAGGCGCTCGGTGGCTCATTGCAAGAGTGGCCGTGTACAGGAGTGATGCAGTCTGAGGCCAGACCTCCTGACAAGGTAAGGGCAAGGACTGGGTCTCTTCAGGTGAATTCGCCAGCCATCCACTTGGTTTGTCCTCAGAATAACCATACATCATCGTGATTGACATCCTCATGGATGTCACCTGCAGGCTGGGCGACCACTCCGGGGAGTGGTCTCAAGGGAGGCCCCACCTTGAGGCCCCGCCCTCCCTTGAGACCACACCCACATGTGATCGTGCCTGTCAACCCCATCCTCGATGGGCCCAGAGTCGCCTTCTTCTCCACCTGACCCCGCTTGAACCCACCCTTCCCACCTAGACCCGCCACTCTGGCCTTGCTTACTGCCCACCCCCCCTCACCTGCCAGATCCCCCTGAGCTTGTCCCAGGGAATGGACTGCGACATCAATGACGACCTGGCTGTGCAGCGGCTGCATTCAGGAAGGTGCAGAGGAAGCACAGTATCAGCATGTGAATCTGGCTCTGTGGTGGGGTCTGCTAGGCGAGCGGCTGCGGCTGTGTGAGCAGGCCAGGCAGGGCCTTGTTGTAGACATCACCATGGTCACTGCCAGCCCTTTGACCAATGCCACCCCCCAACCAGGAGCCTGTCTATCTGAGCCCTGGGGCTGAGCCCAGAGACCCAGCCACAGGCTGGGACCTGGACAGTTCTGGTCCCGAGGCAGGCATGAGGTGGGGACTTTTGGGGACCAGGTGACACTACCAGGCGGGACACAGCTTTAGGGCCCAGAAGTGGGGAGCTGGTCTATGGAACTCTCCATTCCTCAGGTCTCTTTCCTGAGGTCTGAGGGCTGTGGCCAGTGACACGGGTGAACCTGCGTGTGTCACAAGTCCAGCCACCTTGAGTAGGCTTGTGTGTGATGTAAGTGGCAGGCTCTGCCCTTGACCTGGCTGTGCTACTGTTGGCTCAGTGAGGGATCTTGTCATGGCTCAGTGAGGGGCCCTGTCATAGTCACATGTGGACAGGGTGGAATGAATGTATGTCCCAGGGCAGGCTCATGTGACCCTGAGCCCAGTCCTCTGGGTGACGAGGGTGTGGCTCATTGTGTGACAGGTGACACGGTGTGATATCACTGGCCCATGGTGCTGGAGGTGCTGCCCCATTACAGCAACATCTCCCGTAAAGCTCTGTGTCCTCAGTTCTGCCTTCACTGTGGCTTGGGCCAGGAGTCTATGCAGGATCCCTGTCCCCACAGGGAAGCCAGCTATGTCAGTGTTCCCCTGGACCTCCTTCTTGTCTTCATGGTTGCCTAACCTTGGGGTTAAAGGTGAGGAGTCTAGGACCTGCCTGAGTGGTAACAGCCCCACTCTCCTGCTCATGCCTGCCTGGTGGTACAGGATTCCTGCAGCTGATGCAGAACCAGGGTGGGGTAGAGTGAGTGGGCAAGATGCCCAGGACCGGGGAAGGTTGCCTGGTCACTTCAGCACCAGGCCAGGCTGGAGAGGTGAGGCCCTGATCTTCCCACCTCTGCCTAGGGGACTCTCAGGCTTCAGTTCCCATAGAGGTGACAGGTTCCATGGCTCTATAACTAGGTCCTGGGAGTCCCGGGGCCATGATTTCTTGGGGGTGTGTCTAGGATGGCCATGGTAGATGGCAGGGAGAAGGGATCCCTTAGAGCCACTGGGTTCTGGGCCAGGTTGGGCCCCACCCCTCGTCCTGTCTGCCTTGACCCAGGTCTAAGACTTGCTTATCTGGGTTGGGGGGTTGTCACTGTGCTGGGTGCCAGCCAAGTCCAGTCCAGAGCTGCCCTTTCTCCCCCCCACCTCCCCACCCCCACGATTGGTAGGGTACCTTGGATAGAGACTGGGTGCAGTGAACTGGGGCTCTTTGGAAAGGGAAGGACTGAGCAGCCTAGGAAAGGAAGCACTGAGATCCACCAAACACGGATACAAAAGTTTATTGAAAAACTCTTCACAAGGGTGGGAGGAACTGCTGCGAGGTTCTGCTGGGCTGGCCATGGAGCTGTCCTGTCTCTGCACCTTGACTCTAGGTCAGAGGAGAGTTTGGCACCCCCGCCCAATGGAAAGGGCCAGCCTTGTCTAGCAAGGGCCCAGAGAAGACCCTGGTGAAATGTCAGCATGGATGGAGCAGACAGCCAGCCCCTTCTGGGCCATTCACAGTGTACTGGGCCCTTCTGGGCCATTCACAGTGTACTGGGGAGGGCCAGAGTAGCTTCAGGCATCTTCTGGGCCCCTTCCCCATCAGCGCACTGTGGTCAGGGGTGCATCTGGCCTGTACAGCCTGTGGCTCCAGCAGCCTTTGGGGCCTCTATCCACCCCACCAGAATCCAGTCCCAGAAGTCCTCATTGAGTCCTGAGGCTGACGTCTAGCAGTGGCCATGCCCTGGATCCTGGGAGGTGGGAGTGGCAGGCCTGGCCCCTGGCAGGTGACCCTAACTGTTGGCTAAGGGCTGGAGGGAGAAGGCAGTGGCAGTGGTGGTAGCGACGGCTGCATGCTGCTGGGGAAGGCAGTGCAGATTCCCCGTCTTGAGGGCACACTGCACGGGCCACAGCACCACACAGAAAAGCAGCAGCAGCAACACCGAGACTAACACCAGGCGCCGCCAGTCAGCACAGCGCTCCCAGCAGCGGGCTAAGCAGGCCAGGAGGCCCCGGCGTGGGGCAGGGCTGGGGACAGGCACAGGAGGTGTGGACTCCGCAGGCTTGCTTAGTCCCACGTCCACGCACACGAAGCCGGGTGCCTCTTGGCCAGGTGTGGTAGGTGGTGGGCGGCAGTACAGTTTGGTGCCCTCCAGCCACACCGGCTCCTCCTGCCGCAGGTGCACCGGCAACTTGGCCTGTAACTTGCGGCTGGTGCGAAGCCCAGGGGCCCCAGAAGCTGGCACTGCTGTGGGCTGCCGGCAGAAAGGGCAAGGCACAGCCTCTGTGCCCGGGCGACCTGTGGGCTGGGCAGCTGCCAGCCGGGCCAGGCACTCTAGGCAGAAGACATGGGTGCAGGAGAGCTCCTTCGGTGTCTTGAAGATGTTGTCATAGCCTGAGAAGCAGATGGAGCACTCCAGTGGCGAGGCCACCCGCTCCAGGCCGGGGGTGCAGGGGGACTTGGGGCTGCCAGCTGGGCTGGAGGGCCCGGGCACCGCGGAGACTGTGGAGCTACCTCGGCGAGGGGGTGGCACAGCCGTGTGCCATACTTCCTGGCCTGATGGCATGGCTTTGAGCTGTAGCACAAATAGAGGTCACTGTCAGTGACCCAGGGGCCTCGTTCCAGTGAGGTTGACTTGTCACTCTCCCTTCTTCTATCTTTTCCAGAATTAGCCACACTGATCAGGAAAGACACTATCCCCCTCTCGGCCCCTCCAGAGTTCCTTCTGCCTGTGTCCCTGAAGTCTTCTGCTCATACTGTAACCTGTGTCCTCCCCTACCTGCCACAGGGCCAAGCATATTGGTGACTTAGATGGCCCCGTGGGACTGTAGGGATGGATGAAAGCCATGGACCCAGGGCTCTTACTGACAGCTCAGTGGGTGCCTTGGTCAACGGCAGCCCAGGACAGTTCTTGTCACCTATGGGCTCGGTGGGGCAACCCACATCCCAGTGGAAAAGGCAGCTCTTAGGGTGGGGTGGCCAGGGTCTTTCCGTCCAGTTAGAGGAGGTTTGAATTTAGATGCCAGCGGGCTTCAGGTTTGGCCAGGGCTTGGAAATAAATGCCTCTCAGCCATGGCCAGAGAAGAGGCGTACAGCCTCAACCACCTGCCTGGGTACCCAAGTACCAAGGTTACACAGCTGACTGCTGAGAAGGAAATGGAACCTTGGGATCTATGACCTTTTTCCTGGTTCTACTCTACTTCCCTAGTGGCCGTGGAAGACCCTGATGACCAGGGCCCCTCTTTGGGCCAGGTCTGCACCCCACAGGGACACAGGCATCTTCTTCCTCAGAGTCCCTGGCCACAGAAACCCATGGAGCCCAGGTGGCCACACCTTCAATGATCCTGGCTGTGTGTGGCCTGGCCTTCAGCTGTTGGTCAGTCCCAAATGGGTAGGTGAAATGGCTCAGGTGTTACTAGGCTGTTCCTGAGACCATGTGACGCACGGTGATGTCATGAGGACCCCAGGTCCCTGGCATGTGATGTTACCACGTCTTGAGGCAGCAGCGGCCTTGGCCAGGTCTGGGGAGCCTCTGCATTGTCCTCTCCCGCCTGCCCTTCAGAACCGGCCCTGGTACCAGGCCTCACCCTTCTGCAGGTGCCCCTCCCTGAGCCTGTGCAGGCGAAAGGTAAGACACTGGACTAGACTCACCTGGCAGCTGGGGGTCAGCGGCTCCTGGGCACGGTCGTCTCTGGCCACAGCAGGGCTCTGAGCCCCTGGACTCTGTAGCTCCAGCAGTGTCCTCTCCCACTCCTCTCAGCCCAGCCTGACCTCCACTCCACCTGGCAGGTATACCTCCACAGCCCAGTGCCAGGCAGCTGTTCAATGGCACCAGTCTGGCAGGCACAGCCTTAGCTCTGTGGGGGTGGGAATGCACGAGTAGTCCAGTCCTGAGCTCTGCAGCAGGCTGCTGTGGGTTCTGAGGGTGTCAGCTTCGGCAGGTGTATTTATACCTTCCAGGTCATGCCAGCCCAGGGTGTGGCCATGGCCCAAGGACTGGCTGGCTTCCCACCTTCCCCAGCAGGCCAGGCATGGGAGGGAGGGGAGCAGGTGAGTGTCAGAGCAGGGGTGGCCTGGGGTTACAACGGCCAGAGTTTGGACGGCAGAAGTGGATGACCACAGCCCATCCCTGGGAAGAGGATCTGCCCCCATTCCAGATCCCAGACACCGGACCTTGGAGTGGGCCCTAGCCCAGCTGGCCACTCTGTCCACCAATACTACTCATCTCCTTCCAAGCAGGCCATCCTGCACCTCCTCTCTGACCCCCCTACACATTCTCACAAGCCTTTGTGGAACTCTGTACTCTAGGGTCCAGGAAGTGGGAGCGAGAGGTCAGCGCTGGGCTATGCCGGGACACTGTCCTCCACTAAGGTTAGCAGCACAGTTAGGGTTAGGCTTTTTCACTCTGGCCCAGTACAATGGACCTCAGCAGAGGTCCTGGACCCACTACTGAAAGCTATGCCCTGGACCCATAGCTGCCCTCATTCCAAACCCACCTGGGGTTCACTGGTAATCTCAGTGGCCTGGGCCCCAGAAGCCCCCATAGCACAGCTCCCTGTAAACTGGATCCTAGGAGGGCTAGGTATGGGAGCCTGAGGAGATGGGCTCCTAGAAGAAAGGGACCCGAGTTCAGGAAGTACTGAGGCTCCCTACCTGTTCTATGACACAGCAGAACCCCAGGGAGAGGTACAGGTTCAGGGAGTGAGTGGAATTCAGGGAAGAGACAGAGGCTTAGGTTCAGGGAGAGGTGGAGTCCAAAGTCCAGGGTCACTGAGGGCACAGGGGACCCTGAAAGCCTGCTTTGGGACTGTTCCTAGGAGTCTGAGGTTCATGACTCCCTGTCACATGCCTCCCAGAACTCATCTTGAGTCCCAGCTGCCTAGGAACACCCTTCTGAGGGATTCTGGGAATATCCAAACTCTGAGGTCACTGGGGCTCCTCAGAGAACAGGCAGTGCCCAGAGGCCAGTGACATCAAGGCCTAAGAATGTGTAGGGCCTCCCTGAAGAGACAGAGCCAGGCCTGGGAGGCCAGGGCAGCAGCATAAGTTTCTAGGACAGTATCTGGGCCCACCTGATCCCCATCCTGGCAAGGAGCAAGCAGGGAACAGAGTAGGAGCTGAACGGCAGTGTGAGCAGCGTGCCTGTGTGAGGCATGCGGGTGCCACTGTGTGCACAGGGACCTGACCCTCCAGCCACGGGGCTGCCTGGACAACACCCTGCTAATATGGGACAGACACCGAGCTGTTCTGAGTTTGCTCCCGAGTCCACCCTGGTCATAACCCTTCTGCCACAAGGGCTCTGCAAAGTTCCTGGCCATGTGCTGACAAGGTATGGCCAGAGCAGCGAGGCTCTGCAGAGCCAGGCTCGTCAGGCCAGGCCGCCTCCCCTGCCTCAGGCCCTACCTGCCCAGTGCCAGCCACTCTGCATCCCAGAGTTGATGACATGGAGGTGTGGGCACATCCACAATGGGGCCTGTTGCTCAGGCCTGGGATTCCTCCTTGCTGGCCCAGATGTGGGGGCTCTGGGGCTGGAGGTACCCATGGGGCTGGCCCTGATCTTGCACCAACCCTTTGGGTATGTAACCCGCCATTGTGAGTCTCCACAGGTCCTAACTCACCTGCTGGGCCTGCCCTATGTCAGGGGCCCCAGGCCACCCTGAGGCCACTCCCACTATTCCTGTGGGTCCTTCATTGCCATCCCCAACACTTGATCCGCACTAGCTACCCCTTTCCATGCAGGGAAAGCCACTGAGTGAGCAGGTGAGGGAATAAGGGGTGGGGAGTGAGCTGTGGGAGATCTGGAGGGGCTGGAACGGCTTCCAGTTTAAGCCACAGGGTTGTAGGGGAGTGGCCCCAGAACAGTGGGGGAAAGGCCTGTGGGGCCACTCCAGGAGACATGAGGAAAGGAGTCCTGGCTATACTCATAAAGAGCTGACCGGAGGAACCCATACTGCCTTCTCTGCCTCTGGCCTCCATCAGAAATGATCCAGGGACCTCTGCCCTACTTCAAAGTCCCTCACCTGGCCTGGCTAGAATAGCCAAGACAGCTCAGGATGGTGTGACCCATGGGTGACCCTAAGTACAGAGAAGAGGTACATGGGGCTGTCTCCTTCCCAGGCCCATGCTACCCTTATGTCCTGTCTCCAGGGTGGGATCCTTGGTCCCCAGAACAGAAGGGCTACATCTAAACCCTCACTCCATGCTCTGGCAGGGGCCCAGCTGCCCAGCGCTTCTCTGGAGCCCAGCCCTGGGGGAGAGGGACACTCCCCAGGTGCCTCAGTGGCTGGAACTATGGGATGGGGTCCAGAGTCACGTAGTAGTAGTTGTTTGCGATACGAGGACAGAGGCTGAGGGCAGTAATGAAGCAGGCATAGGACTCCTAGAGTCCCGAATGCTCTGCCCTCCTCTGGGGAGGTCCTTGGCCAGCACACGACCCCTGTGCCCTAGGCTCCTCTAAAGAGCCATCCGCCCACAGGTTTACAGGGTTCTGTGTTAGGGCTGAATGACTAGGATGCAGGGACCCCACTCACAAGGGTGACTCAGCCCATACACTGCCCACTGGGGTCTTTTCCCAGGGGTTCAGGTGTGTGGCGCTCAGTGGTCCTGTCCCCATCCCTTGCCAAGTCTGACCAGTCAGAGCAGTCTGGAAGAGACCACATTCTTCTCTTTTTTCATGCTTCTCCTGCAAGAGGCAGCTCAGAGCAAGCCCACCGTTCAGAGGACACCTGAAAGGACAGGGCTGCACCTGGGAACAGGCCCATGACAGGGGTGCAGTCCAGGGTGTGAGCCAAGCTCTCCCCTACCTGCCAGGGTGCTCTTCCCACCCCTCCCTGTCCCATCCCCTGCACATGGTCATGGGGTGGGTAGACTGAGCCTGGACAGGAGTAACACCTCTCACATACAGAGAACACATGACACTTGGGAGGATTAGAACACCCAGAAGAGAGAAGCTTCAAAGGGTTTACTTGATCCGACTTCACATTAGTGGCCTGCACCCTCACTGTGGAAGCCAGTGTCAATGAACAGTAAACTCCAAATGTGTGTCATGGTACCAGAGGGCTGAGCCCCTCCAATGTGGGCCAGACATTGAGATGGTGCCGGGCACATCAATGCCTGAGCTAGATTGTGCCAAGGCAAGCACATAGGAGATGGCTGCTAAAGAGTGCCCTGCACAGCAACCCACATCCAGAGCCACTGGACAAGGGTCACTGGCTGGCATGCCATTGCCTGCTGGCTTCAAAGGCAGTGGGCGCCTGCCTGATAGGTGGACACCTCGTGGGTGCCAGCTGTAGTCGGCCCTGCAGATGAGGGTCTGCCCATCACAGACCAAGCCCCGGGCTCGCAGTACAGAACACCGAAACACCAGCTGGAGTTCCAGGGGATGCTTGGAGGCACAAAGCTGTGGCTTGTGGGCTTGGCTGCAATGGGATAGTTTTTTCTGAGGTGGCCCAACCCAGGGAGGCCATGTCTTCTCTGATGGCCTTGCACTTACTCCCTTCAGAGGGGTTTGCGAGGCTCCTGGCTTGTGGCATGAAGGTCCTGCTTGACACAAGCTCAAGGATGGGCTCTCCCCACCCTTCTAAGGGTCAAAGCATCCTGGGGCACCTGCAGGCCAAGCTGGTCCTGAATTTTGCTGGTCACCTGAGGGCCTGCACCTACCCCCTCATTCCCAAGCACCTGGCCTATTCATTGAGCATCATGGGAGGGATAAAAGGGAGGTGTTGTGGATTCCTGCTCAGCTTGTAACGGGGAGCCACCCCCTGCCCATCCCAGGCCCCAGTGATGGCCAAGGGACAGCCCCAGGCTCCTTGGTGCAGGTTGGTGGGGTCTTAGTTGGCCTCCAGATCAGACGTTGCTGATGCGGGCATCCACCACAGGGAAGGCAGAGGAGTCCACAGCCCTGTCTGAGGGCCTCTCGCGCCTCACATATCTAGGCTTCCGCACTGGAACAGGGTCAGAAACAAGCTGGGTCAGAGCCAGGAACAACCCATGGCTGGGTCTGCTCCAGGGCTCTGGGGAGTAGAGTAGGCCTCTGCAGGTGTGGGGTTGACACGGCCTGTTACTCAGACTAGATGGAATCGGGGCTCCCTGCCCAGAGTTTCCACCAGGTCCCATCTGTGCCCAGGGCAGCTCCTCTAACACATGCTTCCTGGGGTCCCAGACCCTGCACCCAATAACTTAGGTCTGGCCAGCCTGGCTATCCCTTAAGACAGAAGCACAGGCCACAAATGCAGAGTATACTCCAGGGGCAGGACAGCACCCCCAAGACAGAGCCATGTCCCGAGTCCTAGGGCCTATGAATGTGGCCTAAGAGAGACGTGACTAAGTTAGAATCTCACATGAACTGAGAGCAGCATGGGAGGGATAAAAGGGAGGTGTTGTGGATTCCTGCTCAGCTTGTAAAGGGGAGCCACCTCCAGCCCATCTCAGGCTCCAGTGATGGCCAAGGGACAGTCCCAGGTTCCTTGGTGCACGTTGGTGGGGTCTTAGTTGGCTTCCAGATCAATCCCAGAGACAGGCAAACCCCTTAGAGAGGGACACTGTCACCTCATATGGTCTCATGCCAGACCTTCGTATGGTGGGAAGACCACAGGTTGTGGAAAGAGGCTGGGCAATTCAACTCAGGCTTCCAGGGGTGTGACCACAGGCCAGTCGCCTACCCTGCATCCTATGGCCTCTTCCACAGTGGGTCACACCCACTTGGTGGTGCCCGGTAGGAGAAGGCCCAGGGGTGACCTGAGCTCTACCTCCCAGGCACAGCTTGCCCTGAGCAGGGCTGGAGCATGGAAGGGGGGGCCTAGCCTTCTCTGGTTCCCCTCTCTCTGGCCCAGCCTAAGGACAGGGTGGATACTGTGCAAGCCATGGGGTTTAGTGGTGGAGCAGCTGCTGAGCAGCTGGCCTGCCCCCACTCCCCCCGCCTTGGGAGTGGTCTCCTGAGGAGCTCTGGGAGTAGCTGCAATCCCAGAGACAGGCAAACCCCGTAAATGCCAGAGTCTGTCACATGGACTCTGTTGTGGTGCTATCTTTACCTGAGGACTGGGGTGCAGGGATCATCGCAGCCTTGAAAAGGAGAAAAAGGCAGTGAGAGAGGCAAGCGGCCAGCACCAGCATGCAAGATCCAGGACGCAGGGATACTTACGGCTTCACTGGGCTGCAGGACTGGGGCTGTGGGGAAGGAAACGCAGGTCAGGCCCAGCTAAGGCAGCAGCGAGTCCTCCAGGCCCAGGGCCTACCACATGCACCTATTCCAACTCCTAGTCCTGCAGTCTGGCTGCTGCTTGCTGCATCTCCCAGTGATCCAGGGATGGCTGCCCACCCCAAACACCTCATTCCTTCCTCTCAGCAGGGAGGAGAAGCCGGGAAGATTACTTCTCTAGTTGCCACAATAGGACACAGGGTGGAACCCTCTCCAGTAGCGTTTGTCCCGGGTGGCACTTGGGGTTTTTGGGGTACCTGCGCTGGGGGTTCACTAGGGTGCTCTGGCCCACTATCCCACTTCATTTCTCTCTGCCCTGTGGCCAGGCCAGCCATGCCCAGTGCCTGCTTTGTCTAAGAATTCTGGAGAGGCAGAGGTACCGGGTGGACACAGGTGTGGGACTTCCCATGGCCACTATGCAGGGGCCCATGGAGCTGATTCTGAAGTGCCCACTGTAACTGTGACTGGCACTGACCCAAGACCACTTCAGGCCCTCAGGACCCTAGGGCACCTATTGCAGGCTGGGTGTGGGAAGAGGAGATGCCTGCACCTGAACGGTGCCTCCTGGGCACCACCTGCTCCTCAAGAGGGCCCAGGTCCCAGCAGCACACTGTTGGCTGGACTGCTGAGAAGTACCTTTATCACTCCTGTAGAAGATCCTGGGGAGCTTACTGGAGCGCTTGAGGTAAAAGAACCCAGCCACAGAGAGGATGAGGCCCATGCTGATGAAGAATGTTCCCAGGAAGAGGGAGACCACCACACGAGGAGCCCCTGTGGCAAATCAACAGCCAGCCATGGGTGTCTGTGGTGCCCAGGGATCCCTGCTAACACCCTGAGAGCTGTCATTCCCTTTCAGTCACCTCTGAGGGCCCAGCCCACCTGGCCACAGAGCCTGGGGATACTGCCCTGCTCTTTTGGCCCAGGCTTCCTCAGGAGGGAGGCTCGAGAAAAAGGACTCACCTGGCTAACCCCAAATGTACCCAGTGCTGGGCTCTCCATGCCCCTTGGTACCCTCACCGCTCTACTACCTGGAGCCATAGCCTGTTGGTCACTACCATCTGGGGAAGTGCCTCTTTTACCCTGAGATGTAGGGCCACCCACCAGACTTGTGCTGGCTCCACGGGCCAGCACTGTGGCAGGGGTCCAGTGACCTATCCAAACCAGCTGCCACCCTATGCAGCTGGCTTCCGTGTCCTGGCCAGTGCGCATGTACTTTCTGACAAGAGGGGCAAGCCGAGTCCCTCAGATCAAACCTCCAAGCTCCGAACCCCCCAAGGGTATGCGGGAGGGTAGGAGTCCGCCTAGCCAGAGTCACTTGGCTGCAGTGCCCCTCTGCCCGCATGTCCAGCCCTCTCCCAGCCCCTGGCCCAACCGTTCAACCCGCCTCCACCCACCAAGCTGCACCCTACCCACCAGGCCACACCCTCTTCCTTGCCTGCTAGGCCTTCCTCTCAGGTAGGACTGCAGGTCTAGAAGACTCACTGTCCCCAGGGCAGGGCAGGTAGTATAGCAGGTATTTCTGCCTGGTGCTTGTCTCCCCTGAGCCTCAGGGTGGCTTCCACTTCCCAGACAACCAGCTAGGGGCTGGGGCCAACCCACAATAAGGCAAAGGCCAAATGTGAACACATAACAGTGAATCATGAACTGCAGCCTCTAAGGCCATGGGAGGGGTAAAGAAGCTCTCTGTCAAAGCCATCCCAACACGCGCCCCCCAACTAAGCCAAGTGACTCCAGCCCTGGGCCACATCACAACCAGGGCTCCTGCCACAACGCTCACAGTGGGCCTTATGCTGACCTAGATCTGCACTGGCAAAAACTCCGACATTCCCCTCCACCCCCAGACAGAGGCCTGGTTCAGGTCTGGGGCATTGAGAGACTCACCAAAATGTGGTCGGCCAGGCATCCCTGTGCTCCTATTCATGGGGAACTGAGCACCCCAGCCAGTGACTGTGGGAGAGCACAGCTCAGGGGAGGAGGTCCCTACATGGACCCCCCCCCCCCAGGGTGTCTTGTGCTGAAAAGGAGACCAAGGTGGCCCTATGGAGCAGCCCTCAGCCCATAGCTGCCCCTGTAGACAGAGGACTCAGGAGGGAGTCCTGGGGGTTGTTCACCAAGGGACAGTGCTCCTGGGCAAGGTGGGCCCACGCTCTTGGGTGGCAAGGACCGCAGTGCTCAGGTCTCCCCGACAAGAGGTGTGGGCTCCTGTGAGGAGCAGGGGAAGGTGGAGGGGTAGCGGGACGGCGAACAGCAGGGAGGGGCAGTGGGACCAACAGTGCGAGGGAGACCTACGGCTTCTGCACTCAGAGGCGTTGTAGGCTGGGAAGGTCCCATTCTGGCACCGCACACAGTTGATGCTTGCATCTGCACTCCCATGCCCGGAGCAGCCTGCACAGGGAGGACAGTGTTTCTCAGGAAAGCAATCCAGGCCCGCAGCACAGTCTCCTGGAGGGTTTCTGTGTCTTCAGTTTTTCACACAACCTTCCTGCAAGAACACTGATTGGCTGGTCACATGGATAGAACTGGCTCAGATTCCGAAAACAAACAAAAAACAAAAACAAAACAAAAAAACTCAGAAATAAATTAAACAGACGGGCATCCTACCCTGACCCAGGTTCTTTCTGCTGAGGAGCCCAGGCCCTTCTGGTCTCTGCAGGAGGCAATTCAGAGAAGGCAGTGATGGGCATCTTTATGGGCTGTGTGATGGCCTAGCATGAGGGGCTAGAGGACTGGCCGTGGCCTCCTGCCTCATCTACTACAGCTTCCCAGACCTCTGCCTCCAAGGTGTGGACTCCACTGCCACAAGCACTGGGCACCCTCCCTCAGCTCCCATGTGGGTCAGGCACAATGTCAATTTTTCACCCCAGGGTGTCTCTGAGGGGCTCCCTGTAGAGTCAAACCAAATTTCCATCCCAGACTGCTGCCCAGAGTCTGTTCTCTCCCTGGCTCTCGCTGGCCACTGTCTAATGGACAGCTGTCTTCCAGCTTCCTCTGAGGACAGAGACTGAGCTTCCATCTTTGCTTCTTTCCAACATCCTCAACACAACACAGGCTGGGTAGACGCACACTCCATAAATATGGAATGGGAGTGCAGAAAACTGGTACTGGACCCTGAGCCACTGGACCCTGGGATTGAACCACAGGCTGCAGGCCTTTCACACTGAACTTCATGCACATGCAGCCACAAGCAAGTGGCCCTTGGTGAGATGACAGTCTTCAGTGGTGACAGGCAGTGTGATACCAGGGATGGGGGCCTGAGAAGGACATCAGCACAGGGGGACTCTAGCAATGCTGTGAGGAATGGGCCTGAGGCCAGCACTTGGTTTCTCCACCTAGGTCGAGCTGTGTGCTGATACAGAGCTGTGTTAGGAACAAGCCGCCTAAGCAGTTGCCCCACCCCACCCCTGTACAGCAAGGGTACACCCCAGGGAGGGCCCCTGGGAGGCGCACAGTCTCACTGTCTACTCAGGTCTCTTCCCCTGAGGCCAGCGGGATCCACACCACGGCACAGAGAACCCAGTGCTAATGTTGAGATCTTCCCTGCAATCTTCCCTTCCATTGTTCCTGTGCTAAGAAGCGGCTGGGCCATGGGCAGGGACAAGAGAGGCCTGTGGGCCTGTGGGGCTCCAGTCTCTCCATACAGTCTCTCTCCAGGCCCAGAGCCACTTGACTGTGCACCTTTCTAGGATTCCCACTCTACTCTCAGTCCTCATCACTGCCTTCTACTGGGAGCCACAAAAGCTAGAAACTGGTCACAAGTGTGAGAACAGGACTAGGCCAGTGCCTAAAGTAGTGAAGCTACCTCAGTCCTGATAAAAGCATCCTGGTTAATGTCAGCTGACACCTGTGTCACACAATACTAACTTTGCAAAGTATAAACGAATGCCCCTACTGTTATGCTGGGGGTCATTTCACCAACCAGGCAGACAGGCCGCCACCTGACCCAGCTCTTGCCTTCTTGTCTATCTTTCCTTCATTCCTGCTGACCAATGGATCCCTACGCTTTCCTGCTAACCCCTGTGCAGACATCCAGCCCTGACCCTCCAGACCCAGGCTCTCCATCTGCAGGCCCCATCACAACCTCCCCTCTTAGTCATACCCTTCTCCCATGGAAATTTGCCAATGTCCTCAGGGCACCGCTGCCCAGTGGGCAGCCAGTCTGGATTCAAGCCCTCTTTCCTTAGTGGAGGGTGACAGACCCCAGAACAGGTGTGCTCAGGCATCCCTTGCTAAAATGACGGTGCTGACCCATTCCAGCCAGTGTCCACCACAGCCCAGAGCCATCCCCTGCTTCACCTGACCCTCTTGTCCCCTGCAGAGACTTCCTGTCATAGGACATGGGAGAGAGATGGCAGCCCTGGCACTATTTCACGTGGACCCACCCCTCCACCTGCTGCCCTAGCTGGCTTCTCTGTGCTGCCTGCAGGAAGGAGGTTCAGCTAGACCCCTTTGCCCAGTGCTGCTTCTGTGTTGCTCAACACAGAAAAGCAAGTAGGGTCATGTATAACACCTGTGGATCCTGGTGGCTTGGTCACTGATCTGGCATCTGCCTGTGACAAAGTAGCTTACCTGGGCCACATAGTTTTGTGCCAGGGCAGGTGGCATTGATGTCCACCACATCCACACAACACTCTTGTTGCTGGGCCTGGAAAAGACAATGGTGAGACTAAGGACAACAACAGGGAACGTGTCTCCCTGTATACAACCCAATACCCACAGTCCACCTCCCCGAGTCGACACTACGAGATACCTGGCTCTGCTGGTGCAGCAGCCCACCCACTGATCCCCTACATGACACCCCAGGGAAAACTTCAGTCATGAACAGAAAGAACCAGAGCCAGAGAGAGAAGCTCCAATGCAGGAAGAGCTGTGGCTGGGCCTCCTTAGGGCAATCCTTGTGACACCTGGATTTAGCCCAGTCATAGCACCTAAGTCCCTGCTCCAGCCTCCCTAGGGGCTCTGGAAGGCCCTCAAGGGCAGTGGGCAGCACTGTGTCTGAGCTGTGCAGGGCATGTGGCCAGTGAGCATTTGATGGCTGAATAAATGGTATACAGCTGGGACTGTCTGGTATATTCTGAAACAGCCACGGGACTCTGAACAGCAGCCTGAGCCTCAGGCAGCTTGAAAGCAATGGCGCTTGGAACACATGATCCCAAAATACACCACTAGCCCAAGAACAGGAAGGCCCTCATTGTAAAAGGCAGGAGGGCCAGTGAGATAGCTCAGTGGTTTAAAGAGCCTGCTTAGGCAAGCTTAGGCAAGTGCAGGGACCGCGGTTCAATCCCCCAGCACCACATGCCAGCCAGCCCCGCCCCCTGGTGGGCTGAGCTGGCCACACACACACACACACACACACACCTCTCTCTCTCTCTCTCTCTCTCTCTCTCTCTCTCTCTCTCTCTCTCTCTCTCTCTCTCTCTCAAATAAATAAAAAAAATTAAAAAAAAAAAAAGAAATGCAAACAAATCAGGTAGAGGGGACCAGGAACCTTCCCTGCACTCTTGCCAAAGGTTCAGCACCCCACTGAAAAACCTAACAGGTTTTGGGGTCTTCCTGAGGTTCTCTGCAGGAGCTTGCAGCTTGGTCCCAAAGACATGCCGAGGCCAGGCCCAAGTCTCAGGGGTGGAGTCACACTCACGCTTCACACAGCACCCATGTGCTGAGTCATTTGGTTGTGTGAAGGTCTGTTCACCAACCACCACGGTCTGTACAGACCTTGAGAAGGCTGGGGGGATGTCGGGGTGACTTTGGCTGCAGGGTCCTCATAGCTGGAGTTCTGCTTCCTGTGACCTGAGCTTGGTGGATAGTGGGGGGCACCTAAAGGGAGACACAGAGGTGCACAGAGCACCCACAGAGGGGCTGCATGCATTGCATGGACATCCCTCTAACTAGCTGTGGCCAAGTCAGGGAATAGCAGCCCAACCCTCCAGCCACCCCCACCTGGTCCAGGTTTGGGGTTCAGTGCTGCTGGCATCACCTCTTCTAGACACCACAGCACGCTGGAATGTCACTTTCCAGGGGAAGCCAGATGATCCTGCTGTGCAGACGCGAGCCACAACTGCCTGTCTCACAAGTGGCGAGCGGCTCTCACAGGCGCTCTGCAGACACCTTCAGTCAGCTACAGTAGCACAGTTTAGCAGAGAGGCTTCTGGGAGGCACAGCAGAACAGGGGCAGAGTGGGCCCTCCACCTGGTGGCTTCCTCTAGACCCTTGAAGATGGGTGTCAGGGACCTGCTGGGCCAAGGACGAAATGGCCACGGGACAAAGGCACCAACCTTATTTTCAGTGGACTTGCTGGCGACTCCCACCAAAAGGCCAGCCAGTAGTACGAGGCACTGCAGGGCCATGCCAGGGAGCAAGAGGACCGCAGGGTCTGTGCAAGAGAGGAGGGTGGAGAGGGCAGGCAGTGCAGAGCCTGTGGGTACAGTCCAAGAGAGGCTAGAGGGTACAGTTCAGCCAGGGAGGGGCTTCATGGGGGAAGGTGGGGCTAAGATAGGATGGAGCAGGAGCACGAAGAAGGCTGGGCTTCACTGGGGTGGGTTGGCACTGGCGGGTGGGAGTAAAGCAGGGAGAAGGCAGAGCAGGTCAGCTGTTGCCCAGGCCTCCTGGAGTAGTGAGTTCAGGTGAGTCCAAGGTGCTCTTACCTGCCCCTTCACGATGAGAGCTGCAAGCATCGGCTCAAGCCACCAGCACAGTCAGTGGTCAGCATGGCTTGGGCTGCTGAGTCATGTGGAGCTCACAGACCTGACCCTGTGCCCAGCAGGCCAGCTGAGCACATGAGGCTGCAGTCACTGGGAGGATAACTTCCTGAGAGAGGGCTTAGAGCCCAGCAAGGGACAGCCTGGAGCACCTTCCAACCACTCCACTAGGTCAGGGTCCTAGAAGCAAGGCCATTTGTGCCTCTGAATTCTGGCTCACAGATGTTGACCTGTTCTGGTCACACTGCTCACACCTTGAGCATGGTCTCCCATCAGTCTCCTCTTGGGTGGCTGGGGCCTTGGGATGAACCAGTACTTTCTTCTTTCTTTATTTTTGGACAGCTCAGCCCATCCTGAGGGTGAGGCTGGCACAGCATGTGGTGCCAGGGATCAAACCAGGGTCTCCTGTACCTGCCTAAGCAGGTGCTATAGACCGCTGAGCTATCTCACCAGCCCTGACCAGGACTTTTATTGTGAGTGTTCTGCCTTCATCAGCTCTGCGCTACAAGAGTTAAGTATACACAACCATAGCCCCAGCGATACAGGACACAATAATTTTTAGTCATGAAAAGAAGATCCAGAGGGGAAGCCAACTGGAATGCACACTGCAAGCAGACTTCTTAAAGTTCAGACGCTTAGTGCTTGAAGTCCACAGGGCACCATGCCTGACACATTCCTGGCACCCATTATACAGGCTTTAAGTACCATCATTTACACAATTTTTAACAACTGTTAATTCACAAGGCAGAACTCACTGTCTGTCCCAACACAACTGGGTCAATACTTCAACATAAAAGTTACCTCTAAGGTGACTTTTCCTGGGCAAAGGCAGCTGCACAGTAGAAGCAGCTGTGCCACGTATCTCAGCGCTGATCACAGACTTCAGCAGCAGTGTCCTGCCTGCTCCAGGCTGTTGTTCATCAAGAACAAAGATGATTCAGTCTGAGGCAGGGAACAGGAATTATGCTCTTGGGCCAGCCACAGGGAGAGGATGTGAGGTCCACAGGGCCTGAGGGAGAAGAGAAGGCTCAGGGTGACTCAGGATCTTTTTTTTTTTTTTAATTTATTTTTTATGTTTTATTTTTTAAATTAATTTTATTGAGAAACAAATAGCAATGAGACAGTTTCAAAGTCGATTAATAGGACAATTTCAGTAATTAATACATTGCATGTTGTCTTCGTAGTGGTTATTCATAGTACAAGATGCAGACATGGGCTGGTGAGATGGCTCAGTGGTCTAAAGCATCTACTTAGAACAAGCTCAACAAAGCACAGGGACCGCGGTTCAATCCCCCAGCACCACATGCCAGCCAGCCCCGCCCCCTGGTGGGCTGAGCTGGCCACACACACAAAAATAAATAAATAAATAAATTTTTAAAAAAATAAAAATAAATAAATAAATAAATAAATATTGTAGATATGTGAATTCAGCAAAAATAATCCAATATAGTCCAGTAGTCCATAATAGTAGTGGGTTATCTGTAGGACTGGCAACATCAGAAGTTGTTGACTTGAGCCTTTTACAGCTCAGCATATTAATATGGCTTTACTTTTTGTACCTCGTTTTTATACTTTTCTGCTGGATAGTTAATACCAAGATAAAGCAAGACCTATATAACAAGAAATGTAACTTTTGTATCTGACAAGGTCAGTCAGATCCCCTCAGGATTTACCCTGAAACCCTATACCGCAGTTTGTAGATCCTTTGTCAGTGTCAGCCATGTGGATGAGTCACAGCCATTGTTTGACCAATTTGCTTTCTGTGAGAGCCTGAGAGAATGTTTTCTCTCCATGTGACTCTCCTGAGGCACACTCTACATCATCGATCACTTTCCTCTGTGGCTCCATAATCTCCTTGATCAGAAAACTTCGGACATCACTGAGTTACAGGATGTTACAGTACAGGTTCTTTTATGTCTGGGGCTCTGAATCTTGTCCCCTTAACAAGGAGTGGTGGGGTCTCTCCTGTTATTCGTGTTATAGATATTTAGCCCAGTCATGGGTGGCAAAAACACTGTGTTGCTGGGAGGTGGGAAGTGTTGTTCAGGCCTGCAAGAAATCTCCTGCCTTGAACAGAACAGGACTTTTCTGGAAGAATTTTGGCTATCTACCCCACTAAAAAATGCATGCTCCCCTTGCCTTGTACAAGGACACACGCAGCCAAAGCCTGGGCCACTCCTCACCCACAGGGAATAAGCAAATCTCTTTTTATTTATTAGATATTTGCTTAGTACAGACACTTTCTTTCCCTTGTCTGGAGAAAATGCCTAGTGTCTTGGACTCCTCTGCTCACTTTTTGGGAAGAGGCATCACAGGGGCCAGGTCAAATCACAAAAAGAATCTGAAGTCCAAGATTTCAGTCAATATTTCCATCTCCCACTTGGTCAACTTTATTGAGGCATGGTTTGCATATCATAAACCACATCTGTTTACAGTACATAATTCAAAGAGTTCTGGCAAATTACTCACTGGTAAAGCTGCCAGCCACAGTTCTCTGTGGTCTCTCCTCCTTTAGCCCTTGGTCCCCAGCATCCACTGAGCTGGACATATCACTACAAATCAGTATTGCACAGAATTTCATTCAAGCGGATCATAGTACGTATACCTTTGTATCTGTCTCCTCTCATCAGTGTTGCAACCTTAGATGCACTGTGTAGTTTATCTGTACTCTTCTTTTTTTTCCTTAATGAAATGGCATTCTACTGTGTGGATATACCTGATTTTTTTTTATTCATCACCTATTGATGGATATCTGGGGCAGGAGCCACAATCAGAGGTGGGAGTGGTAAGTAGGAACCCCAGCTGCCCAAATATAGGATATAGGTTTTTCTTCTACATGAAGGAGTCACAGTGGCCCAACCTATAGGAGTGTAAAACTTTTCATATTTCCCTTACCATGGGAATTCATTATAACCCTTAATGTCAACGAACTGTTTAATGTGCTCACTGTCTGTTCAAAATTCAATTATAAAGACATAAGCACCTGATTAGGCAAGTGCATGAACTGGGGTTCGATTCCCAGCACCACATGCCATGCCAGACCCACACCTGGGTTCATGGAGCCAGCCCCCGAGACCAGGCATGGTGGCATATGCCTGTAATCTCAGCACTGGGGAGGCTAAAAACAGAAGGATCACTATGAGTCTGAGCTATGTAATGAGACCCTGTACCAAATACATAAAAAAATAGAGGAAATCCTTCCCTATAAAATTTATATCTCATAATAGACCTCATTTTGCAGTATGTACTATTAAATTTTAAAATACTACTAGGGGTAGGACTATAGCAGCAGAAAGACAATTCAGTCAGATAAAAGAAAAAAGCTAGGAAGCGTCCTTCAGGAAAATCTTCATACTGGACAATGGAAGGGACTCAACCCAGTGCTAGTTTGGGGTTGAAGCTATGTTTATGCTTTACCAAAGACTGCTGAAAAGTAGTCTGTGCTGTCTAGCTGTATCATAAAGCAGGCCTGGGGCTGGTGAGATGGCTCAGTGGTCTAAAGCACCTACTTAGAACAAGCTTAGCAAAGCACAGGGACCGCAGTTCAATCCCCCAGCACCACATGCCAGCCAGCCCCGCCCCCTGGTGGGCTGAGCTGGCCACACACACACACACAAATAAATAAATAATTTTAAAAAGCAGGCCTGAAGGAGTTGATTCCACCCTTCAAGATGCTGATGCTCAGTCCTATGACAGTGATGCCTTAGAAACTGCTCTACTGCTGAGAGACAAGGATGGGGCTAGACCTGACCTGAGGCCAATTGTAGGCATTGAAAGAATGGCCAAGAGATAGTAAACAAAAATGAGAAGCAAAGGTCTAAGGTGGTGGTAGAGTGCTTGGAGATAACTGAGCCGAAAGTTACATGACAGAGGGGATGCAAAAGTTACCAGTATTCTTTTTTTTTTTTTTTGTGGAACCAGGGATTGAACTCAGGCCCTTGCACTTGCCAGGCTCATTTTTGGCTCATTTGTTCATAATTTAATTTGGTTTATAGATTTAAAAAGCATGCTTCCACTTGCATTGTCAGCTGGCCAAATTGACATCAAATTTGGTTGTCTCATAGGTCACCAAAAACTTGTTAAGATAATTAAGCAAAAATCCCTTAGGGGGCGGGAGAGATAGCTCAGTGGCATAAGCACCTGCCTGGCAAGGGCAAGGTCCTGAATTCAATCCTTGGGACAGCCAGAAAAAGAAAATCTCTTAGGGTGGGGACAAATTATTAGACAGGACTCCAATTGATGAATAAGAAAGCAGCTGCCCATTGGGCCACTGAGATAGCTCAGCGGTCTAAGCATCTACTAAGGCAAGCGCAGGGACCTGGGTTCAATCCCTGGTACCTCATGCCATATCAGCCCCACCCCCAGGCATGCCAAGCAGGCCACCAAGACTGGGTGTGGTGGTGCACACCTGTAACCCAAGCACTGGGTAGGCTGAAAACAGGAGGATCACTACAAGTCCGAGCTGTGTAGTGAGACCCTGTATCAAATACATTAAAAAAAAAAAAAAAAAG